GTCTCGAATATAATTTCGAGAATGATAAGGAAGTTCAGTAATGTTTTCGTTAGTGGACTGAGACATTATTTAAGTATTGGCAACAGTGGGCTTGGCTCGCAGTTAAGCCCAATACTTAAGTAGCCCTAATCATCATCTCCTTAAGATCCCTACTGTAGCTCTATAAATACATCATTAAGCTCATAGGATTGAGACACAAGAGATAGAAGAGAGCAAAAAACCTATCGTATCAGCTGCCCCCTTATACTATCTCTCTCTATTTCCTATAGTAGAGCTTTAACTTCGTCTTGTTGTTCCACTGATACAATTCGAAGAGGTGTTCGAGATATACATTAGAAGATAGGTACAGAGACCTCGTGATCATCAACCGACGATCAGCCCCGTGACCGCCGACCGCTGCAACCCGCGCACTCAGCCGACGACCGCGAGACGCCGCAGCCAGCCGTAGCCCGTACGCAGTCAGCGATGATCCCGCAGCTCCGGCGACCACTGCACACAGCCCGTACGGAGCCCGTCGATGCCGCATACTCGCCGCCATCACATACCCGCCATAGCCCCACGATCCCCGTGCACTCCGGTGACCCTGCTTGTTGCTATTCACGTGTTTCCGGCCGAGGCTCCCGACAGCTTCTCGAGTCCGACAAGAAGAATCCGGCTTCCCAACAGATTTTGAGTTCAGACGATCTCCTACAGAGGAAATCTACAACGACTTAGAGTCTGCAATTTTAAGTTGTAAGTATTCAACTCTAAACCTCTAGATCTGCTGCACGTAGCTTTATTGTTGCTATTGAATTCGTGATTTATACATAACGAGATCCTCACCGATTCCAACCCCCATGAGAGGAGTTAGATCATGAGACTCGCAACGAGTTGAGGACCCTTTCGATGGATTGCCATAGATTGGGGCTAATAGGACAGCTACAACTGTCGAAGGTCATACACCAAGGAACTTCTAGTGTTGACTGCTCTCGAGCAGGTGGAAACTCCTAGAAAGGTAAAAACATTCAAAATACTTAGTCTTGATAACATAAATAATCTCAGTCTCAAACATGAAATGAGCTCAAAACAGTCTGCGAAAGCATATAGTAAAAACATTAGACCACCCTCTCGTCGATTCGCGTCCGCCGCCAGCTCGATCAACCTGAAAATGATAGTTGTGGGAGGTGAGCAAAACAACTAGCTCGCCGTGTGAACCATACTATACGATTATTCAATATAAAATCAGATATCATATTTTAAGCATGAAATATGTAAAACTAATTTGGCTGCCCTTCACAGGCATTGCCCTTTGTAGGCGTAATACAACTGGTTGCCCTTCACAGGCATCGCCCTTCACAGGCGGAATATAACTTATTTGACCTTCACAGGCCGAGCACTCGCATCACCCATCGGAGGCGACACGTAACTGTTTTACCCTTTGCAGGCCGAGCACTCGCATCACCCATCACAGGCAACACGTAACTATTTTTCCCTTCGCAGACCGAGTACCCGCATCACCTATCCCAGGCGACATGTCACATCATATACATAAAACATAATATCTCACGTTTATAAGGAATAAGGTATAGCAAGGAAACACCCCACCTTAACTGCTGATGATGAATGAATGAAATGATATGCATGTGATTCTTCGTGTGGAATTGACTCCTCATAATCTACGTTTTAATAAATTATTTATTAAGGGTTTTGATTAACAGGTAGATTAGGCCAGACAATTAAGACAAACAAAAACAAAAACAAAAACAAATAAAACAGATAACTCTTCTAACTCCCTCTCGACTATCTTGGCTCGTCCAGAGTTCTCGAATAAAACTAAGGGTCGAAAAATTCTCCTTTTTAACTGGTTGAAACCGGCCAGGCCACACATGGTCAGACCCGGTTTGGCTCGCTGGACCGCTCGAGTCGACCTGGTGCGACGGCTGCCCAGCACGGTGCTGGCCTGCTGAGACCTAGGTCGGGTCTGTTGCGCTCGCTGTTGTCCTGGCTGGGGCTGCTGGGCGCGGCAAAGGCGTTTTGCGGGTTGCTGGCGCACGGACGCGCATGGCACCAGGCTGCTGGGATGCACGGGCGTCCACTAGCGTTGGAATGCAGCGGATAATGCATGACGCGTACAGGTCTGCTGGGTGATGTGTGCACGGGTGCTGCATTCCAACGCTAGGCGTGCGGGATCGTTGGCGCACGAGCGCTGCAGTGGACGATGCATGGGCGCTGCAGTGGACGGCGTACGCACAGAAGCTGTGGGAGACAGCGTACAGGCGTGGGAGCAGTCTGCGGGAAATCATTAGGTCGCCCTGCCTGTCACCCGGCTAAACCCGACCAACCCTTTGTCCGGCGACTTTCGTCGGCGATACTAACACTTTTCCGCCAACCTCAGTCTCAAATAATAACTTATAAATACCAGGTCTTAATGAGCCATAAGCTATGAATTTACACAACCTAGAGCCAAAGTGTATGTCCTCCTCTTTCTTCTCATTTTCTAAAAATTCAAACAACACTCTTCTATAACTTATTAAGGCCACAACAACTGAACTTTAACCTCTGAAACAAAGGCACATTTCAGCAGGCTAAACAAAATAATAAAGCTCAACAACTTAATGCAAAGACATGGCCAAAACAAACAACATGCCTCTTCTTTTTCTTTCTTTTCTTAAAACCTCCACAACCAAAATAAGGCCTTACCAACTGAACATGAACTTGCTAAACGAACACATAATCAACATGATATACACACGAAAAGTGTTAAGCAACACATGCTAACACAAGGCCAACAAAAAAAAAATAACACAACAAGCATATCTTAAACTCTTCAACTTTAACAAAGTTTAACATGCCATGTATGTTTAAGCCTTAAAATCCAACTCAGCCATAAAATGGGGTAAGGAGCTCAACCATTTATATTTCTTACGAGATTTAAAAAATGAACAAGAATGGCTCAGGTAAGGCTAGAGGCTCTCGGCTGGTTTTCTTGGGCTGAAAGGGCTCGACTTTTGGCTGGTTATGCTCAGTCTCAATAGCTGATGGTGGCTCAAATCTCCTCCTCTCAGATGGTACTTGGTTCTCCTCTGCCTGAGCTCACGGGATGTCTCTTTAAACGCTGCACGGATAGCGCTCGGTTGCACGCGGGTCTCGGTGGCTCTCGGCTGTGAGGTGTGTTGGGGAACTTTTGCTAAGGGGCTTAGTAAATTTTTTTGTGCTTTTTGTGGACCTTTTTAGGGGAGCAAATGGAGGTGCGACTGGTGTAGATGGAGGTTTAAATAGAGGGAGGTTGAGGGAGCCGTTGGAAAAGGGAGTGATGCCGAGTCTTTGGGGAAGTAGTGGTTAGTTAGGGCTCCTCTTAGTGCATGCATGGCGGCTGAGGGAGTAAGAGTGCGAGCTTGAGGTGAGTTGCGGTTGGTTTTTTGCCGAGAATTAAGGGAAGTTGGTTGAGGGCTGCAAGACCAGGTCTAAGGGTCTTAGGAGAGAGCTAGGAAATTTAGATTCTAGATTTTGGCCTTGTACTAAGTGGCCGGTCTTATGTGTGCTTGGAAAATTTAATTTCTCTTGGCCGAGGACTTAAAGGTCTTAGGGAAAAATATTGAACACTTAGGCAAATTAAGACTTAGGCTTCAAAAGAATTATGACCAAGTGAAATAATACTTAGGCATAGGAAAATTTGAACTGTTTCCTCATGAAATAGAAATGGCCGAGAACAATTAAACTACTTAGGCAAAATTTTCAAAATTTTAGGCATGCTTAAGATTTAGCTAAACTTAGGAGAAAATTAAAAGATTAACAATTAGAAAAATTAAGTAAACAGGGACATCTACTTTATCTTCATTTTAATTTTATAAATTAAATAGACGAGGACATCTATTTAATTTGATATTTAGATTAAAAGGATTTGAATTACACAAAGTCGAGCCATGAAATGAAACGCAAGAATGCTATGCCCTTATTAAATAAACGAGGCGTTACAACTATCTTACATTCGTATTTTATTTGTAGTTATTGTTCTTACATAAGTTCGTGATTTGTAGGGCTGTTGTATTACTGGCACGATTCATCAGCTCAACATTGCTAATTATGTCAACGAATTTGAAGAAAGTGTGGTATATGCTATAAAAAACTATCAAGTAGAAAACAACAATGACCTGTACAAGTCAAATTATTGGTAAATACCGAATCATCCTTCATGGACAAACTAAGCATTATAGGTATACTGCTGATTTTCCCACTTTAGGAGCTTTCTCATTTTGTCTGACATCAATAATGCTGATGAATCTATCGTATTCGGTAAGTCAATTTGTTCAATTTGTGTAATCTATCGTGATTAAAATTATTTAAATTTGTACGAATAATAAGAATTTTTTATTTTTAATTTCACTTTTTAGATGTAATTGGATTGTTTGTTGAAATTCAACCAAATGAAGCAAGTGAATGGAGGTCCAACTCAAATGGTGGTGTTCCCACTCATAGATTTGGAATAAGTTTTTTTTCTTTAATTTTTTTCGGCCAATATAAAATTATATATGTATTTAATTCAATAAGAAAAAAAAATACTAATTTGCATATAATTTGAAATTGTTCTTAAGAGAAAACATGAAGACATGTGGGGTATGGGGACAATATGTTGACCAAGTGATTGTATTTGTGATACATTATTATGAAGAAGAATCACAATTTGTTCTTAATGAAGTGTTTTTTTTTCCTTTTTTTTTTTTCTTAATAATGTGTTCAATAATATATAAATTTCATTTTCAATATATTTATTAATGTCATGATCATTCCTTTATTATACAATTTAAATACAAATTGCCTTTTAAAAGACATAGATTTAATAAAATCTCCGTACATCTCGCACGAGTACTGCACTAGTCATACAAAATAAAATGTGACAAAAGAAAAATAAATAAACAGATAATATTAAATTATATTTATTTATATTGTTTTATTGTAGAAATTCCCGGCTATACGTATACGTGGAGTAACATATGATTTGCATAGGTGGAAAGAGAAAAAAAAGAGTTCACTTGTTTAAACATGTTCAACAATAGCTGCTTTTTCCTCTTCCCACTGCTCCTTTCCCTTTTATCCGGATCCAAAACACACACCGTGCCTGCAATGATCCGCCATTGACACACCTTTCGTACACACGCACGCAGATCCCCACCGCCCATAGACCTACATGTCTCGTCCACCAAACTACGAGTTTCAGGAATGGTGGAACAAGCAGCGCTCCAAGGACCGCGCCGACGACCCTTTCTGCTCTTCCGCGTCCGAGGACATACGATTCCTGGCCGTCAACATCCACAGTCCGACCTCCTCTGACGCCTCCGCCTTCTCCGCGGCGGAGAAGGACCGCTCGCGCAGCGCGCGGCAGCTCTCCTGGATTTACCTCCTCAAGTTCAACCAAATTGCGCATTCGTTATCTTCCCTTCCGGGCAGATTCCTCTCCCTCGCCCGCACCGCCAAACGCCGCATATCCTCGGCCTCCCATGGATCTCGTTCCGAATCTTCTAACTTTTACAAAATCATCAAGTTCTTTTTGATACTCAGCGTCTGTCTTCTTTTCATTGAGCTTGTCGCGTACTACCGGGGATGGCATTTTTCTCCTCCTACTCTGGAAGCGGGGGTGGAGTTCTCGGTGGAATATATATATGCCAAGTGGTTGGAAATTAGGGCCAAGTATTTGGGGCCTTTGTTACAGAGCTTGACGAATGTGTGCATTGTGTTGTTTTTGATACAGTCTGTAGATCGGTTTGTTTTGGTGCTTGGTTGTTTTTATATTAAGATTAGAGGGTTGAGACCGGCTGCGAATCTGGACTATAAGCAGGATGCCGAGAAAGGGAGCATAAATGTCGCTGACTATCCAATGGTGCTGGTGCAGATACCAATGTGCAATGAGAGGGAGGTAAGAAGACGTAGGTTTTCAAAGCCCTATTCAGAATTTTACTAGTTTTTGAAGTTCATAAGCACATTTTGAAGTGAACATAATTTTTGTTACTAGTGATTTATTTGTTGTTTGTTTGTTTGTTTGTTTGTTTTACTTCCTATGAGTATATGCATATAGACTAATTGAATTTATTTTGCTTATGATGTCCTTGCTGAGCATAGTAAAAAGTTAAAGATTTTGGAAGACCAGGGGTACTATACTTTACATCACAATAGATACCAAGCTGAGTTAATTTGCTTTTAATATTCTGCTCGAGGGAAAGTTTATTTGAGAAAGCACATCTACTGACTGATTGCCTTGGGGGTTAACCATTTGTTGTTTCTGTTATTTGTGAATGATAGGGTGTTAAGTTTTCTAATCTAACATAGATTTGCATATTGATATCACCGTCTTCATTTGCACAGGAAATGTGGCACACTTGGCATGCTTCTTTTAAGCACATTCTTGTATAAACTTTTTTCTATATTCTAGTGATACAGGATTAGTAGCTATTTATTTTAATATGTTATCAAGTATCCATACTCCAGTCTGATGAGAAAAAAAGAGGGACTTTCATTTTGGTTAAAATATGTTATGAGGATTATATATTATTGTTATGCAATTAAAAGTTTAGATAGGTTTGTCTGAACAACATACATACACATAGGAACCTTTTAAATGTGTGGTAATCCTTAAATATTCTTGTCATGATCACTCACTTGGCACACGCAAGCATGACTAGCTTCTTTGAAAGTGTAAGAAAAGGTTGATATATATGCTTGAGGATGCTGTAAGTGATTTCTAAAAACTTTCCTGATATTTAGCATCAAGCGAATAGCATTACTCTATCATCCTGTTTTAAGTTACTGTTTATCTTAGATTTCCACGAGAGGTGAGGTCAAGATACCATAGGGATTGTCTAACTTTATATATAAGGCTTGCTATAGAAAACGCTAAAGGCTTCATTTTAAACCTGCTTCGTGGTCGTAGCTCTTTGGTTATTGGAATGGAATGTATAAGAATTCTGGATTATTATTATCATTATTATTTCTCAGATACAGTAATTTATATGCTTGGGGTCAGTATTATCTATCTATATATCCATAAAGAGTCTCAATGACATGCTCCTCTGCTTGTCTTGTTCGGTACTTGTGATGCAATAAAATCACCAGCGACATACTTTTTTAAAGGTGAAATAAAGAACATCAATTCCATGATTATTGTATAATGTAAAAGAAAAAATAACCTTACCCAATTAAGTAATGTGTCTGTTTGAAACACGCATATCTTTAAATTCTCTGTCATTGTTGCATTAGCTATGAGTACAGTGTTGAGACAAAACAAAGCTATTTATTTTTTATCATACACAAACAGTTAATTTCCTGAAGCTCATAAAACTAACAGAAAAAGATTTGGAGGAGATACCCTGGAACTCATAGTTCAGAACTTGTTTGCATTTGTCTCCGTTACTTTATTGAAATGTTTTTTTGTTTATTCCCAGTTCTGTTTTCTCATTTTCCGATCATAATGCGGCCCAGGTATACCAGCAATCTATTGCAGCTGTATGTGTCCAGGATTGGCCCAGGGAGAGGATGCTTGTACAAGTTTTGGATGATTCTGATGATACTGATGTTCAATCCCTTATTAAGGCAGAAGTACATAAATGGCAACATAGAGGTGTGCACATCATTTACAGGCATCGTCTTATTCGGACAGGATATAAAGCAGGGAACCTTAGATCTGCAATGAGTTGTGATTATGTCAAGAATTATGAGTTTGTAGCCATCTTTGATGCGGATTTCCAGCCAGCACCAGATTTTCTGAAGAACACTATTCCTTACTTTAAGGTAACTGGTTCTCTTGTAGGCTGCATTACAAAATGAATGTAGAATGTAAATATTTCTTAACTAATAACATAAAACCTAAGGTCCATTTGATAACCTACAATGTAATTTGTAGGGCTTTCAGGTTGTCATTTTGTTATCAGTGTGCTAGTTACTTCTGACGTTAAATCATATGGCCTAATGGTCAGCAATTTTGTTAAGATAATACATGTTGCTCCATTTATAATATACTAACACAAATGCTGGCGAAAAGATTGAAATCGTGATAAACGAGACAGCTAAATAAATGTAATTTTCTGTGAGAATGCATTAGACAAAGAATAATTGTCAAATAAACACTGCTCAAGAATTGTACGTCAATGATCTACCTTTTCTTTCCCATCGTTCTGTAAATGTTTTATTGGGGTCAGAAATAGTTTAATTACTTCTTTCATATGCATTAGTTTGTGTGTTAACAGAGCTTTTTATTTATTAATCGACGAATAACATTATTTTAAAGTGATTACTAATTACTTGTGTACTTTGAAGGGAAAAGATGACCTTGCGCTGGTGCAAACCAGGTGGGCTTTTGTCAACAAGGAAGAAAATCTGCTTACACGACTGCAGAATATAAATCTGGCCTTTCATTTCGAGGTTGAACAACAGGTCAATGGGTGGTTCCTCAACTTTTTCGGATTCAATGGGACAGCTGGTGTTTGGAGAATTAAAGCCATCGAGGACTGTGGTGGATGGCTGGACAGAACAACTGTCGAGGACATGGATATTGCTGTCCGTGCACACTTGTGTGGTTGGAAATTCATTTATCTAAATGATGTTAAGGTTTGTATGCATGAAGAATTACCAGATAGCCATGGCATTCTATGTTTCTGAGTTTGTTATAATCGACCATCTTTATGCAGTGTCTCTGTGAACTTCCCGAGTCGTACGAAGCATACAAAAAGCAGCAACACCGCTGGCATTCGGGGCCCATGCAGTTATTTCGGTTGTCTTTTTACAACATACTGCATGCAAAGGTATGCAAGATTCTTTCCCTACATTGGTTATAAAGTAAGAGCGCAGCATTTGACTAATCCATAATATAACTGAAATGAACAAAGGATCAAGTACAAGTTGTATTTCTATAAAGCAGATTTAATATTGGAGGATCCCTTGTGTAATTTTAGAATGGAGAATCACTTGTTAACACATCCAACTTGAGCATCAAAGGACCTTCTCTTATATGCATAATTTATCAAAATGTAGGTTGCGACTGCGTAAAGATTCATTTTATTCATTTTGTCCCACTAGGAATAAAATTAGGAGAGTGGTGATATTTTTTTGAACAGTAATGGATATCGAATGAAAATGTAATGAGAAAAGTTAATGTGACATAAAAAAACGATGATTGAAAGAATTGGAACTTTAAAATTTTGCAAATTCATAAGGAATTACGTGTTAATTTTTATTTTATATTTTAAATCAAAAGGAAAATGTGTTGGTGAGACCGATGTGTAAAACAGTAAAGAATGGGTGCAAAGTATATTTTGTAGAAAAATGACACCCGATCACAAAATTTGTCCAGTTAGAATGAAAAAAAGAAACTTTTAGAACCCTAGCTATCGCTGCCTACTTGAAACATTACTTGTGCTCACTCTTTACCTAGGGGTGCTTGTTTATAAAATAAAAACCCACGTTTAATCCATACTCAAAATTTAACTCACCTTTAATTCAACCCAACTATCCTATCCTTAATAGTATTCATATAATTAAATAGTACAAACCAATCATTCTTACACATCACATCAACTTTAATTCAATACTCATCCACTCACATAATTTAACTAACTATCAATTTACATCACATCTCCCTTATTTTTACATTAAATCAACTTTTAATTATCTTATACTAAATACTATTTTAATATAAACTCAAAATTCTGCTAACAACTATTCATACCACCACATTTTCCAAAATTAATTTGTAAAGAAAGCTTTTACAATTTGTTGAATTTTGATTTTGGAATATTTTCTTTCAGGTGAGTTTGATGAAGAAAGCAAACCTAATACTTCTTTTCTTTCTTCTCCGTAAACTCATCCTACCCTTGTACTCCTTCACCCTCTTCTGCATCATCCTTCCGTTGACCATGTTCCTTCCCGAAGCCCAACTCCCTCCGTGGGTCGTCTGCTACATCCCGGGTCTCGTGTCCATACTAAACATTCTCCCATCCCCACAATCTTTCCCCTTCATTGTCCCTTACCTTCTATTTGAGAACACAATGTCTGTTACAAAATTCAATGCCATGGTATCAGGTCTTTTCCAATTAGGAAGCTCCTATGAGTGGATTGTGACCAAAAAACTGGGCCGCTCTTCGGAGGCTGATCTGCTTGCCATCGTGGAGAATGAAACTGCCGAGAAGTGCCAAGTGGCGAGATCCAGCTCAGACTCGGGCCTCAGTAAGTTGGGGGGAATGAATAAGAAAAGCGGGAAAAGAAGAAATCGGTTGTACAGAAAGGAGCTTGCGCTCTCGTTTATTTTGCTGACTGCCTCGGTGAGAAGCTTGATGTCAGCCCAGGGGATTCATTTCTATTTTCTTTTGTTTCAGGGGATAACTTTTCTGGTGGTTGGCCTCGACTTGATTGGGGAACAAGTGAGTTGAGTGAATGAATCGTGAAAAAAGTAACAAAGGAAAATTGTGAAAAAATTCTTTCATTTTTTAGCTTCATCGTTTTTTTGTACATGGTGTAGCAGCAACATGTTTGGTGGAGATTGGTTTGTGCTTAGTGAGGACTAGTAATAGTAGTATAGGTAGTGGCTGGATAAAATTGGTTGTTTATCGATAGTTGTTAGATTGATGTATCCCAAAGATGTGTTCAAATTCCTTTCCCATTCTTTATTGTTGTAATTGGCTTTGACATCTGTACAACTATTTGCACTTTCAATGGGAAGTCCTGCATAAATTTCTCTGAAATGAGAATACAAAGTCGAAACTTTTGTCTGTAATTGCTACAT